CTTCATCTGTGAACATGATATCGTCCTCCCGAAATCTCTTACTATAGGTTATCGATATTTTATTCTTATTTGCGGCCGAGAAAGTGACCCCATTAATTTCGTCCCCTCCGAAGATCACGTTGATCGTTTGACGTGGAGGTTCTTCTCCTGCCTTTGAGGTTTGCGCGTCGCCCCTGTCTCGGCCATAATTATTTTTGGCTCAGTTATTCAATAGTTCTCTGAGGTGACCATTTTTCAACAGTGTTGCCACTTCTTCCCGGAGGTGCCGGCAGTCCTCAGTCAGATGGCCATTAGTGCTGTGGTATTCACACCATAGATTTGGGTCCCCCTGGCTGGGATCGGACATCATAGGTCTTGGGAATCGTGCCTCTTTGATATCTTTCATGGCCGACACTAACTCCACCACGCTGACGTTGAAATTATACTCTGATAACTTTGGATAAGAAGAACCTTGTGGTCCCTAGATTTCTCTACCCTGCAGCGGTCTATTAATTCACCCACGATCAGTCTTCCCGTCAACGATGAACTTGTCTGATGTCCGGAAGCTCTTATCATGACCTTCCGTCCGATCGTATGGCAGAAACCGGCCCCTTGAAACTTATCTATATGAGTCGACATCGTCCTTTATTTTTCTTTGTTCTTCTCTCGTCCCTTTGCTGATGACAGGAAGTCAACCTGATCGTCTTTGATCCTTATCTTTGACTCGTACCGGTTGTGGACATTCGCCCAAGTTGTTGCTTGAAACTCGAGCAAACTTTCCTTCAACTTCCGGGAAGCATCTGAACTCCTCGGGTTCAAACCCTTAGTGAATGCTTCAACTGCCCATTCATCTGAGACGGCCGATAACAACATCCTTTCCTTCTGGAACCGGCTAACGAACCTTCGTAATAGCTCAGATTCTCCCTGTGTGATCCTGAATATATTGGCATTTTGGGCTTGTACCTTTCTGGCAGTGGCATGGGCCTTGATGAACGAATCTGCAAGCATTTCGAAAGAATATATGGAATGCTTGGTCAATAATGAGTAACATGTCAAGGCCCCCCTCGTGAGAGTCTCACCAAATTTCTTCAATAACACGGACTCAATTTTGTGAGGAGCCAGATCATTTACTTTTACCGTCGTTGTGTAGGTGGTGATGTGTTCCAGTGGATCTGAGGTCCTGTCGTATTTTGGCACTTCAGGCATTCTGAATCACTTTGGGATTAATTCCGAGGCCGCACTCGGTTTGTACGGTAATTGGATGTACTTCTTCGATCTCGGGCTTTTCAATACCGAGTCCATGCTGGCGTTTACTTCCTTCATGAACCACAAGAGTTCCTCTTTGAATGGATCATTATCGCTGTTGAGTCCAGATCTGCTCCCCCCAGCTCCGTCGGAGCCAACTTCGCCTCTAGGAGTGTCATTGTCGACTCCCTGCATTGTTTGGTTTATAGGAATAACGGGAGGAACTGGATCTTGCTTATTTGCATTATTTGAAGTGACTGATAGCGCATGTTTTAGCTCTGTCATAACCTGATCCTACCACGTGAGGTGGCCTAAGATGATCGCATGTTTCTCTTGCAGGACCCTCACCGCGCCTGCTACGTGCCCCTGGTCAACATCTTCTGGAGTCATTTCACGTACTCGTCTGGGGTACCGCCCGTCGTACACCGGCATGGCATCTTCCCCCTCATTGCGAGTATCGCTGATTGAGTCCTCAAAGTCGGGGTGTTCCTCTTGAACCTCAGGATTATGAGTGTTGTTAATGGTATTGATTGCCATTCTTTATGATTTTGCTAAGACAAGAACGATCAAAGCTTGTGAGTGAAGGAGGTAACGATCAACTTAACCACACGACTGTCTAGGCCCCACGGTGTGCGCCAAACTGTTCGCTCGGAAAACGGTACAGTTGAATTTGTTTGTGGTTTCTAGACAGATGAATCAATTTGATCCCAAAAGATAATAGATTAATTGGTTTTCGTCCAATATGCTTAGCTCAAATGCCGATAAAATGATAGATTTGGATAGCCCAGGAACAGGGTTTTAGGGTATGATGATGATAAGAACAACAAACTAGGAAGAGTAAAAGTATCGAGATCTGTATTAGAAAATGCCTTCTTTGATACCCAGGAAAATCCTCTACTACAATGATAGTTGAGCCTATTATTTATAATTCAGTGGGCATAATGATCGGTCCTACCATTAATGACAATTATTAAAGTATTATAATAGAAACCAAATGGTAAACATAAATGCTTAGATTTCTTTAATGAGTTGTTACTCTTTAATGTTGTAGAATATTTTTTATTGAATGCTATCGAGCGCATCCTGCTCAATGCTTTTACGGACTTGCCTTTCTTGGTGACACACGAGGTAGATGTGTCCGATTTTTCATCCTCCCGGTTTTGATTCCAGGTATCCCCTTCTTGGACGGCCACGTAGCATAACGTATTTTACCTAGTACAACCATTAATATGATGTGACTTACCTCTCACATCAGCACGTGTAGTTATGATATATGTTACAGTTAAAAGAAAATACCCGTTAAGATATTTGAAGTAAATACCTTGCCAAAAAAAGGAAAAAACACGTTTCTGTCGTATCATTAATTCATTATCATAAGACATTGGCTGAAATAGCCTCACATAGATAACATGCAAGTCAAAGTTAATCTTTCATCGAAGATCGTTCAAAAAGTCTTTAACATAAGTATACACACTATATGGGATACGACGACATTTCATAAATGTCCCCATAAGTCATTTAAATGTCGCAAATTAATTTGCAGATATTTATTTTATATTTACGCCAAATGTCAAAAATTTCAATGTAGTTAATTTTGCGACATTCAAATTAATGTCGGCAAATAACTGGTAACATTTATTTATGATTTTTTACCAATGTTAATATTTTGAGCTCTTAACCTATTTTCTTTGCGACATATTGTATGGGTCAAAATCTTCCCTTATAATATTTGAGACAAGATAATACTGAAAAAGGAATTCTCGAGTCGTCGTTAGTCGAGATGGGCTAAGAAGCAGCAAGATCCATAATCAAAGAGTCGACGAGAGCCGTGGTCGAGATGTCAATAAGGGTCGAGGTCGACCATCGTTGATAGAACTGTAGCGCCTAGTTTTCAAGATCGGATGTTGAAAGAGAATATTCTATTGAATATTCCTTGCGCTTGTACTATTAGAGTTTCATAGGAACATGTCCCATATAAATAGAAAAGAGAGACAATGATAAGGGAGGGGATATTCATTTTGTAAGAACAAACTTTGACAAAAAGACTCTCTCTCTCTCTCTCTCTCTCTCTCTCTCTCTCTCTTGCTAAGATACAAATACCATCTTTTCGCTATGATTCTTGTCTATACTATTCCATACTTTTCCATCATATCCGAGAATAACTCAAATATTCAAGGATTTGTTTGTCATTTATCATTGTCACGTGGAACATCCATCTATTTCGTCCTTTAGTGAGTGAATCATTCCTCTTATTTACTTAGACGTCATTTATTATTATTCATTGCTATTAAATGCTACATTATTGCTCATGCTTTTAAGAACAGTTATTGCATATTGTTATCACTATCTGACCGAACCCATATAGTGTATATTGCACCTTTGAAAGCCTTATCTAGAGATATTATTGTTAACTAAGTTTAACCCCTAATTACATAAATTTAATTATTTGAACCAAGATCCATATTTTTTTGTCAAACAATTTGGTGCCGCCTGTGGGGATTCCTTAGTTAAATTTTTAGTTTCTTCTAGATCTACAACTAGCACGGGTCACTAATGTAAAAAAAACAAGATCTCCTTTCTCTGTGTACACAAATCCCAACATGGAAGGTAACTGAGAAGAAATGATGAGAATAATAAGTGACCTCCCAACCAACCTCATGAACGTCATCAATGAAAGTTGTGAAACGGCAGACGAAGGCGCAGCGCCCAGTGCTTCCCCTAGATGAGATGGGTCACCACCCCCTCACTACAATATCACAAAATCTCATGGTAAGGGAGCCTCCACGTCTGTGGGGTAAGAGACACCCCCAGCTGTAAAAATGCTCCTCGAAGCGTGGCTAACCGGCACGCTAACCAGCATCCACAACAAGCCCGCTCGGGACACGACCACAGAGAACGCAAGGACTTGCGCAATACAACAAGCAGACGAGCAATGTAATCAACTCTTCCCTCCAACGACATGTATTACTCACAATGTCATTGATAGTGCAGGTGACAACGTCCTCACAACCATTCTAAAAAGGATGGAAGAAATGGAGAATGAAAACAAGGCGCTCCAAGATCAAATGAAAGAACACCAAGAAAGGGTCCGTAATATACCAGGCACTGCTAAGCTATTGCCGAAGAGGGACGTCATCCGGTTTGTCAAACAGCCATACAGCGATGATGCAATCCCAAATGCCATACCAAAAACCTTTAAAATTCCGCCCTATCTCAGGATATATGACGGCACAACCAACCCTGAAGATCTCGTGACTCATTACATCACCGCCGTAAAAGGCAATGATCTCGCCAAAGAACAAGTATCTTCCATTTTGCTTAAAAAGTTTGGCAAAATCCTTACAGGAGGGGAATTAACATGGTATTCACAACTATCAACACGCTCCACAGAGACTTCCGAGGAACTGACCGACAAGTTCGTAACGGCCCATGTCGGAGCCAAGAAGGCCAAGTCAAGAGTGAACAACATATTCGCTATTAAGCAGTCCCTGGGAGAGGGACTAAGGGACTTCCTTGCCCAGTTCAACCGAGTGAGGATGACTCTGCCAAATGTATCTAAAGAGATGGCGGTCGCAGCCTTTCAAAATGGGCTGAGTAGAGATTGTTCAAGAGCAACTAAAAATTATGGAGTCGGTTGATGAAGTATCCCCCAACCACTTAGGACGAAATCCACAATGCTTATTGTGTCAAGGTCTGTGCAGATGAGGATGACCTCAACGGATCGACTCACCGACTAACCTCGATATAAGCCGAATCGAGAAAAGATCGAAGATACAATGCCAGAAGAGATCATCCAATTCCACGACCTAACAGGGAACGGCATCAACCATATATCAGGGTGGTTGTTCCGCCCTCCCCCCGTTACGAAGAAGGTCCATCTAGACCAAAGACGGGAACTCATCGGAATGACTGAGGTATGCCTCCCCTATTATCTATTCACAATAATTGTGTGTCACCTACAGAGATAGTCTAAGCTCTGGAAAAACTCGAACCGAAAGCGAAGTGGCCGCCGAAGATAAGATCGGACCCGAACACCAGAAAGTAAGACGCGCTCTGTGAGTTTTACTAGGAACGAGGACATAAAACTGAGGACTGCATCGCCCTGAGGCAAGAAGTTGAAAACATGTTGCTACAAGGTCACCTCAAAGAGTTACTGAGCGACAGGGGAAGAACCAACTTCGCCAGAGGACGCGAATACCAAGGACTGCCAAAACCACCCTCACCAGCTCGTACCATCAACATGATCATCGGCGGTAGCGATGATGCTTCCATCAATAGCATGAAATTCACCACAACCCACAAACTCAAGCAATCTATCACCCACGAACAGTACGACGAACTCGAAGAAAATATCACCTTCGACAAGTCGGATGCCAACGGTTTGACCTTTACTCATAATGAAGCCCTCGTTATTACTTTACGTATTTTAGATACCAATGTTAAATGCATTATGATAGATGATGGGAGAGCGCGTGCATTATCCATCCCTGAATGCTCACCCAAATGAGATTCGAAGATAATATAGTGTCGCGATGCATCACGCTAACTAGTTTTAACAATGCAGTTGAGTAGACATCCGTAGAAATCACACTCCCCGTTCTGGCCAGCGGCGTAACTCTAGAGACAATGTTCCACATCATGGATCAGGCCATCGCGTAAAACGCCATAGTGGGACGACCATGGATACATCCCGATAAAGTTGTCTCCTTCAGCTTATACCAAGTAACTAAATTCCTAACTCCATGGGGGATTTTCAGTATACAAGGAGAACAACGCACATCACGAGAATGCTACCGTATTTCCTTAGACGGAACGGCCACCCAACAGAGAAAAGACAAAGAAATGGAGGCATAGCAATCAATAGGGTCGAGGTCGGAGCAAGAAAAATTAGAGAATGTCATCAGGGAACTAGATATGGCCGAAGCCGCTAGTTCGACCATAGAAGACCTTGACCCCGTTCAGTTGGATCTCAACGACCATAGCAAGAAGGCTTATATCGGCTGCAAGCTTCGGGAACCAGGTAAATTCGGTAAATTCTTAACAACTAACGCAGATTTGATTGCTTTCAGCCATGCAGATATGACGGGAATCCCAAAAAAGATTGCTACACACAAATTAAATGTTGACCCACTCCACCCCACAGTGAGGCAAGTCAGGCATAAGTTCAACTCTACAATTAATGATATAGTACGCGAGGAGTTGGAAAATCTGTTGGAAAATGGTTCTATCAGGGAATCGAAGTACTCCAAATGGGTCACTAACGTAGTGATGGTCAAAAAGAAGAATGGAAAGTGGCAGATGTGCGTGGATTTCACAGATTTGAACAAGGCATGCCAGAAGGGATCATTCTCGTTCCCACATATCGACCAACTCATCGACGCAACGACCAAGCACGAGCTGCTAAGTCTCTTAGATGCATACTCAGGCTATAATCAAATCCTTATGGAAGAAGAAGATCAGTAAAAAAAAACCACGTTCATCACCCACCAAGGAACGTATTGCTACAGGGTCATGCCTTTTGGACTAAAGAACGCAGGAGTTACTTATCAAAGGTTGGTGACAAAGATGTTTAAAGACTAGCTCGGCAAAACAATTGAGGTATATATAGACGACATGTTGGTCAAGTCCAAAAAGGTAGAAGACATATGGATCACTTGAAAGAAACTTTCAACATGCTCCGACGGTACGGAATGAAGTTGAACTAAAAAAAATGCACATTCAGTGTAGCCTCGGGAAAGTTCTTGGGTTTTCTGGTATCACAACGAGGAATTAAGGTCAACCCCGACCAAATCAAAGACATCGAGGGGATACCGGAACTCTTAACCACAAAGAAACAAGTACAAAGGTTGAACGGTCGCATTGTCGCTCTATTGAGATTCATCTCGTGGTCGTCGGATAGGTGCCATCAATACTTTGGCGTACTCAAGAAAGAAAACAGCATTGAATGGACTTCCAAATGCATCCAAGCCTTGCGAGAACTAAAGACATACCTATCGTCTCCACCTCTGCTTTTAAAGCTCGAGCCGGAAAAGCGTCTCCTCGTCTATCTGGTCGTATCTGAGGTATCTGTAAGCGCAATCTAATTTGAGAAAACAAAGGTATGCAATCTACCATCTATTTCTTTAGCAAAACACTCATCGACATCGAGACGAGGTACCCACACCTCAAAAAATTGGCTTTGGCCTTAGTCGTAGCTTCACGAATGCTTAGACCATATTTCCAATGCCACCCCATCTCAGTTGTCACAGCATTCCCCTTCAGAAGCATTTTACATAAACCCGAACTATCGGGAAGGCTAGCCAAGTGGGCTATCGAATTGAGTGAGCACGATATCATCTATCAGCCACGAACAGCGATAAAGTCACAAGTACTCGCCGACTTCAGCGCAAAGATAATGCCTGAAGCCAAAAGTGAGGCCGCCCAAACTTCCCTCCAAACACAAGACCTCTGGGTCCTATACACCGATGGCGCATCCAATGTGTCGGGATCCGGACTGGCACTCATACTCGAAGTCCCAACAAGCGAAGTGATTCGCCAGTCCATAAGGTGCCCGGATATAACAAACAATGAGGTCGAGCATAAGGTCATAATTACAGGTCTAAGACTAGCACTTAAATATAGAGCAAAACGGTTAAAACTGCGCTGTGATTCCCAGCTCGTAGTCAATCAAGTCACGGGGACTTTCCAAATTAAGGAACAAAGGTTGCAAAGGTACCAGACCAAAATTTGTAAGCTACTGCCCAAGTTCAACGAATGTCAGCTAGATCAAATCCCACGGGCACAGAATGTCAAGGCAGATGGCCTCGTCAAACTAGCTGCAGCCACCAAAAGCATCGCAACCGGAGACAAAAACGTGGTCCACCTCCTCAACTTATCACTAGACCAGGTTGAGGTAAGAACCATAAACCTAACTTGGGATCGGCGCAATCATATTGTTGCATACTTGCAGGACGGCACACTCCCTAGCAACAAAAAAGAGGTCAAGAAACTAAGAATGCAAGCGGCCAAATACAATATCCTCCGCAATAATCTATACAAGAGGACCTACGGCGACCCTTTGGAGAAGTGCTTGGGCCCGAACCAAACTCAGCGCGTCCTCAAAGAAGTTCACGAAGGCCATTGGGGGGCTCATTCCGTCAACCGGGCACTGGTCAGATGCCTCATACGAGCAGTATATTACTGGCCCACTATGAAGAAGGATGCCACGGACCTTGTAATGTGATGCGAGCAGTGCCAAAAGTATGCCCCAATGATCTAACAAGCAGGCGAACACCTTTACTCAGTCGCATCCCCTTGGTCGTTCATCAAATAAGGAATGGATTATTGCGGTAACGTACGATTCTTTTTGGTTTTAACTGACTATTTCTCTAAGTCGGGGGAAGCAAGAGCATTCGCCCAAATACGGGAATAGGAAGTAATAAAATTTATATGGAGAAACATCATCTGTCGATTCAGCCTTCCCAAAGAAATTAGTTGTGACAACGAACCCCAGTTCACAGGAAAGAAAACCGCCGAATTCTTCGAGAAATAGCATATCAAGAGGATACTCTCGACCCCGTACCACCCTGATGGTAATAGGCAAGCAGAATCATACAACAAGTCAATACTAAATATCATGAAAAATAAGGTCGAAGACGCCAAGGGACTGTGGCCGAAAATACTACCAAAAGTATTGTGGGCCTACCGAACAACTCCAAAAACAAGCACAGGAGAGATGCCGAACTCTTTGGTCTACCGTACCGAGGCAGTAATACCAGTCAAGGTCGAAGAACCCAGTCTAAGGTACTCCCATGAGAGCGGCACGGGTAACGACGGGAGCATATGGCAGGAACTCGGCGAAATCGATAAACGAAGAGATATGGCCTACATAAGAATGGTCGTCCAAAAGCAACAAGCAGAATGCTATTACAACAAGAAAGCAAGGTCAGGCCACTCAAAGTCGGAGACTACGTACTGAAAGCTAAAACTCAAGCGAGCAAAGATCCTAGGGAAGGCAAACTGGGAATAAATTGGGATGGTCCATATAAAATCACAGCCGAAGCAAACAAAGTCGCATTCCAATTAGAAACAATGGAAGGAAAGCTACTACCAAACAATTGGAATATTAGCCAGCACAAAATTCAAATACTTCAACTTCTGAGAGAGGAAGCGTTGCCCATGCCGTACTCTTTTTTCCTCACTTGAATTTTGTCCCACTTGGTTTTTATCAAGGGGTTTTTTAACGAGGCCGCGAAGGTAACGTTTTAAGTTGAAGTACATGAAGGAAGGACTGTGGTTACTATTTCATTGCTCGACCTCTCCCTATTCTCCAGATCGACCAATTAAGGGACTAGATAGACCGGGACTAGGACTGGAACGCCAGCCAACACCCAAAAATTTGTAAATTTCTCCAAGTATGTAACAAAAGCAACAATGTCAAGGCAATAAACTTTACACTTATCAGCACATTTGTCTCAAATTCAGGTTATGTTTGACCTCGCTCGAACTAACACCTACCGGCCCTCGACCATAATTAAATTCAGGTTATGTTAGACCGCGCTCGAACTAACACCTACCGGCCCTCGGCCATAATTAAAGTCATGTTATGTTCGACCTTGCTTGAACTAACACCCACCGGCCCTCGACCATAATTAAATTTAGGTTATGTTCGACCTCGCTCGAACTAACACCTACTGGCCCTCAGCCATAATTAAACTCAGGTTATGTTCGACCTCACTCGAACAAACATCTATCGGCCCTCGGTCGCGATTTAATGAAGGGTCACGACCAAACAAATCGACGACCACGACCATGTTTCAACACACAAAAAAAAAGAGCAAAGGCAGCCAAACAATAAAAGCAAAAAACATACAAGTACAGAAAATAAACCACAGGAAAAGAAGCAGATGCAGAGAACAACTTTGGTATTTCATACTTAAAACATTTTTTTACAAAGGCTTGTGAAGACGCTACCAAAAATACACAACAACTTACATAAAAGAGAAGAATAAAAACTATTGATCACCGCCATCATGATCTTCCGTGCCTTCACCGCCTCGGCCACCGACGGCCTCTCCATCTTGATCCCTCTCGCCACTGTCACCCTCTGAATGCGGTACCATACCAGGAAGCCTCCTGAAGTAGATCTACACCTTCATCATCACCTTCGCCGGCCTCAGGCGTAGCATGATCATACCCACAAGCAAGTCGAGCCTCGCGAGCCTTCACATGAACACCTTCAAGGGAAGCATCAGAGACGGACCCCGCCGCATGCAAATCTCGGAAGATATCTAACTGGGCCTCGGCATGTATCCAATCCTTAAACAAATCCCGAGGAACGTTGGGAAAATCTGAAGTGTGGGAAGAGGACGGATGTGCTAGTAATTGGGCCTTCTCGGCCTCTAAAACAACCACTCGATCATGGAAAACAAAGGTCTCTCTTTTCAACTCCACGATCCTTTCATCAAGTCATTCTTCCTTGATCCTAGCCATCGTTAAGTCATTCTTCCGCTTAGAACGGTGAGTTCG